GGGAGGGGGGGGGGGGGGGTCCGAACTGCTGCGGCCCATGGCTTCCATCCGGGGCGTTGCCCCCGCAAAAGAAAAACGAATTGCAGGGTCATTTGAGTGTAGCGCGGGAAGACTAGTGCACCAGTAAAATTATTTTTTCGCCATCAACCCGGACCATCCATCGAATGAGGAAGCCCTTGGCCGGCCGCGTTGTGTTGGACGTTGATTAAAAATATGCTAGTTAGTTTTCTAGCTCCCGTCGTGCTGTGTCGTGCCCTTGATGACTTGTGTGTAGTATTGGAACAATTGACGTTGCGTGAATGGTGGCGAGGCTTCGCCTGGAAATGAATGAAAAGAAAAAAAAAATGGAAACTATAAATGAGGGAGATTATGCTGTGCGACAGGTGTTTTTTTTTCCTTCACATGGATGTGTGATCTTTTTTGGTGCGTTTCTGCACCGTGGGACGAGACGTCGAGAAAGGCCTCTCTCGCACGCTAAAAATACTTTTGCATGGAGCTGCTGCATGGGGATCATGGTGGTGGTGGCCCACTCTCCTCGTTATTCGATTGAAGAGTCGTCTGTCTGCGAACGATGCTCCCCACCCCAGTTCGAACTTGCCGTCGGCCTGCCAACGCCAGTCAGTGGAGATTTTTAATTGCTTCGTGCAGAGGCATGGCAACATCCTCCATTGAAGAGTCGTCTGTCTGCGAGCGATGCTCCCCACCCCAGTTCGAACTTGCCGCCGTGCTCCAACGCCAGTCATTTTTGATTGCTTCGTGCAGACGCGTGGCAACATCCGCCATCGGTCGAGCGTTTCTGATTATTGGCGGTTGCCTTTTCCTGTCCTGGTTGCCCTTCCTTCTTCTCTCTGACGACCGCATGTAAGAGTACGCCATGTCGTCTGTCTTGTTGAGGTCTTGGCTCCTCGCACTTGCGCTGTTCCTTCCGCGAATTCGGCGATCGAGTACGATCATCATCAATCATCATCATCGTATGGTACCCACACAAAAGCGATGTTGACAACGAACGTTGGGGACGCATGCCAGCACGCTCCAAGTTGCTGTAGTCGATTCACACTACTGTCCACCGGGCACCCCCCCCCCCTCCTGAACAAAGGTTTACACATGGTACCGCATGAGAGAGGTGGGTGTTGTCGCGGTTGGACGGTTTCAAGTCCTCCTTCTTCAGCGCTTTTTATTTGCGCACAGAGTCAGTCCTACTCCTGACTTGACTTCGTCTTCCTGCCTGACGACCGAGATGGTTATCGAGCACTTTTCCTCCCAGCTTGCCGTTCGCAAGTGGTCCGCCGATTCAAAGCCGTTGTTCCCCTCTCATCATCATCCTCGCCCAGCACCGCTCCCCTTTCGCGCCCCCTTCTTTCTCCGCCTGCGGGAGACACGCCCCCATCACACGTCGTGCTAGGTTATTCGTAAGTTAAGTAAGTGTTGTTCGAAGCCATAGCCATCTATCGTCGTCATCGTCTGAACCATGTGGTGCCGGTCTGACATAAACAACATACATACCCTCACCCCTCATCCACCGCTTGCAGCAGTAATCACCCCAGCCCACTCGCCCAAAGTTACAAACTGCCTTGTTGAGCCTGTTACCCACAGGGGAGATGTCGCTGTGTGCTGTTCGGGAAATCGTAGACACACAGATAGCCCTTCGCTGACGCTATGGATTCATTGCTAATCTATCTTAGACTTCTTTCTGTAGATAGAGGTGGATTTATTATGTCATAGTAAAAAACATAAAAAAATATAGCAGGAACGACAAAAAGTACCAAGAGGGTGCAGATAACTCCTACTACCTGGGGTAGAATATTCCAACGAACAACGACGACGTTGATGCAGTCATGGTGTGCGTGTTCTTAAGCAACTAACTTTTATCAGAATGATATCTATTATCTGTTCAACAAGCAATTGAGAAGTGCGAAGCGTTCCACACACTACACACACACACATATACCCCAATCAATCGTCTTATGCATTCCTCTCACCCCGAAGTCTCCACAACGGCGTCGGCTCTTCCTCCGTCTCCCGGAGTCGACTGGGGACTACTAGCTCTCCCCCCCCCACGGTTGCCGCTACCGTCACTCCACAGCCCAAGGCATGCCTCCTAGTTAACATGGTGCAGAGGTGGAGCCGTTGACGAAACGTACATTGGGCGGTTCTTGTGGAGTAGCGCGCTGAGAACACGCGCGACTGAACGTTTGCTCATTGAAGATGAAATGAAAATGTTTAAGAGATTATGTCCTCCCCAAAGTCTCCACAGCAGGTAATTGTAAAACATACAATATTATGCATAGATAGGAAAAAAGAAAATAGACACCTCTCTCTCCTGTGGTATTATCTCGAACGGGTAGTAGTCTTTTGTGAGAGTACGTGCTTTCTAAAAACACATATCTATAGTGTACTCCGTTCTTGTTGTTGTTGTTCGTTGGTGGAAACAGCAAAACAAACAACTGAGGCCAGCTGATGAGCGGTGTTATTTCTCTGTTGCTTGTGTACGTGATTTCTAGTAGGTAGGGCACATACATTTGAATTTGTTCATCATGTGAATCCATCCGTGCGTACACTGCTCGACCCCCCCCCCCCCAAAACCCCTTATTTCTGGT